CGAAACGATGGTGTAGAAAGAGATAAGAATAGGTGTGTGTATCGAGAGCTCCGCAGCAATCCAGCAGAGAGCAGCACGGCTGAAACGAGGATTTGCAAACAATAGGCTCGTAGCGGGGTGGATTCTTTAGATGGCGGCTTGATACGCATCGCATTTACATATTATTGCTATTATTAGGTAAACGGTCCTTCGAGCGCCTCTTTAACACTACGCGCTTGCCCTTCGACGTATTTTACGAGCGACCGCGAGAGGCCCTCACCGATAAAAGCCGAGACCATAGCGAACTGAACCAGCGCCGCCTGTCGGCCGGCAAAAATTCAACCACCACCCGGACCGAGTGGGTGGGTGGCTGGAACTGTAAATAATCGTCCAGAACCGCTGGAAACAGATCCTTATCACCCTTTATGCCCGCCACTGTCCCATTCCGTGTGGATATGACTCGCAGACTGGCCGTCAACGCTTCGAAACATCCTGCAGTCGATTGTTCTTAACGTCGAAGGTGTATGCTTGCAAGATTGCTGCGTGATTATCTGACGCTGACACAGTAACTTTCATAACCTGATTCATAGCGAATCGATGCTTTTTCGTGCAACTTCATCATTGGTACGTAATATAGCATATTACGACATACGACGACACATTTTCTTTTTTTTTTTTAGATTTATTTAAGTACATCAGTACACTTTTAGATCTACTGATTTGCACTGAGAATTAGAATTTTCATTGAAGTTTCGATCGAGCAGTTGAATCATACGAAACGCATGCGTGAGGGCGCAAGAATCGCGTACGCATGTGCACGCGTAGAAGAAAAATTGAAAAAGTGTTTTTGCAGAGTTTCAAAATTCAAAAACTTGTGAACACGTTTCGAATTATGTAAGAACACCTCGATATTCGAGGAACGGATGAAAATCGTTAATTGCGAAAGATGATTCACACGAAATTGTATGAAAAAAATAACGGACTGATTCGATAATGTAATAACAATCTTGCAAGATTGCAAGAAATCGGCTGTTTAAATTTGGCAACGCTGTGCAGCCGCGCGCATCGAACTTCTCTAGACCGCATGACGCCAGGGTCGAAATTAAAGACGCGGCTTCGGGAGGTAAGGGGTCCCCGACGACGAAGTCGTGGAAAACAAAAAGGGCGGAAAGAAGGGATCGGAATCGCTCGATAAAACAGGGCGATGTTGGAAGCACCGATAGGCCCCGGAACGATTCTCCATTGGGAGAAACGTTGCGTCGCTGGGGGGGAGGGAGGAAGGGAAGAGAACGAGTACGTATACACAATGGGGCCCCAAGAAGAGGAGCCGAGAGCAAAAGCGGTGAATTAATTGTCGCTCGCGCCGCCGACGAAGCCGCCACGATCCGCAAGCCTGATTTGTGAGCCGCACGCGTGTATATCGTATGTGTATCTACCCGTTCCTTTTTCCCCCCTCTCCCTCTGCTCACCTTCCTCACCCTTGCCGATTCTTTCGTTTTCTCTTTCGTACGCTCCCTCTCTCTCTCTCTCCCTCTCTTCCCTTTCCGTTTCTTTGATTCTTCGCTGCTTGATCGTCTCCAGCGTGCAACAAGGAGATCCGTGTACAAGTTATACGCAACTATGGTGGTAGAGACTGACAATGGAAACAAGCCCAAAGCTACGGCAAAGTAAACAGTCCGGTGTAAGAGAGACGGAGAGAAACAAAAGCAAGAAAATGATGCATAATGAAAAAGAAGCAAATGAAAAGAAGCAGAGAAATAAGAGTGATAGACCGTGAATGAGATATAGAAAGGATAAAGAACCAGATAGAGAAACAGAAAGATGTTATGAAAAATTCAGCAACCGGGTTCTCTATGTTCCTTTTTCTTCTTCTCCTTCTTCTGTCTTCTTATTATATGTATCTTATTTTCTTCCTTCTTCGCCTACTATTTCATTCCTCTTGTTTCACTTTTTCTTCTTTCCTTCTTTTTTTTTTTTTTTTTATTTTTGTTTATTATTCAATAGAGACCAGGAGGTGCTCGTTAATTGATGGTACCGACTGCGGTCGAGCGCAGAAAGCGGTAGAGAGGAAGAAAAATCGAGGTAGACCGACGACGAAGGGGACCATGGGATCACCATCGCCTTATTTATAACGCCGGGGATAACCGAATTCACGATCAAAATCCCGCGTTCCGCGGCATTGATGGATCGTCGATGCCGTGCGCCGCGTTGCGGCAGCGTTGGTATTTTCAAATGAATCCGCCCTTTTTCCTCGTACGTTCAGCCCTCACCATCCCCGCCAGCTAGTCAGAAGATTCCCTTCGAAACTGGGCACATCATCGAATTCTCCCGACTAAATCGAGGTACAAACACACCAGACCTTTCGATTTCTATATGCAGCTGCCTTTCATCGATCATGGAAGCTCCGTCGGAAGACCCGCACAATGAGATGTTGAAATATGTGTTACCGTTGCGTCGATTTATTCGCCCCTCGCTCTTCTGCAGCCATCACACACCATCTCGAATCTCAACGTTTACAACTTTATCTTGTAATAACTTACATCTATCTTATCAAAGAGATTACGACGAATTACTGGATACACATATGTTTGAATATCAAGCGATATCAAACAGAAAATGTAAACATTTCTATGTCTGTTTGTTCTGTTCACGCTTCTGAATGTATCTGGTTTCATCAGCATTCAATTCGAAATGTTTTAATATAATTGAACAGAATTTTGAAGAGATATCGTATGAAAATAAATAAACTATCAGACAAGAAAATGAAACAGAAAGCTAGTTAAGTATTTTATACTTACATATGTATTTATTTCAGGCTACTCGGCCGAGGTTCCATGCATGTCTTTTCCTGCGAACAATTTCAAAAATTGATGGCAGCGAGCGGCTTTAGAGGGCCGTGGCACTCGTTGGTGGATTTAGGAGCAGGTGACGGTGCCACTACTGCTCATGTAGCCCACCTCTTTGAAAAAGTTTACGCCACAGACATATCAACACCGATGAGATGGGCCCTGGCGAAAAAGAAGTTCACGTAAGTGATGTTCAATCTTTCAATCATTCGAGGCCAAAAATAGGGAAAAGATAAAATATAAAAATATAAAATTCTTACTTTACTTGACGAAGCATTAGTGAAACAGAAAATTTTCACATATGTTACTTTTTTGGAATTTTGTTGGGATGTTATTGCATTCGTTTCATTTTCACATTAGAATTTTAAAATATTTCATTAATATTTATAGATTTGCAAATCATCTGAAAATTTAAATTTTTATATTAGTAGATAATTAAAAGAAATCGAAAAAAAATTAGAGCAGATACGTAGGTACGTTATATCAAAAATATAATGAACGTTTTCAGATTTACAAATTACCTTTACCTTAGAATATTCAGTTTTTAATTTAATAAATTACCTGTTTCTTCTTTTTAATATTGAATTTTATCGTACAAATTCTGTATATAATATAAATGGCACTGGTTAAGAAAAATTCTGCTTTCCAATGATAGTTAAATCATAATTTCTGTCTGATCATAATAATGTCTGAAGGTTGAGCGACTAATTCCAAGAGAAAGTAAAAATCTGACAAAAATTAAGTTTTGTAAAAAATTGAAATCTTATCATCGCGATTATTCCTGCAGTGTAAATCGATTATTCTTAAATTTCGTATCAAACGATAAATTCAGCCTAGAACAGAGAATATAGAATTCTTCATTTATGCAAACTGTTTCAAAGCTTCTCGTCTTAATTAGATGCTTCAATGGCAGATGTCCAAGAGTTGGAGGAATGATGCAATGTCATCGGGGATAGTGCGTATAATAGCCTGTGATACTACTAAGTTTATAGCACCGAATTGATTGGAGTAGAAGTTTACGGTGGTTTTATACCCAGTCTCGCGTCGATACGGTTGCAATCCGAAACTGTTCGAATTTTAAGTAAATGTCTGTAGGGTGCGATGTACCTGTAACCGTTTTATAGAAATCCGTTTGCTCTTTTCCAGACGAGTTTAGAACCCTCTCTCCCCCCGTGATCTTAGGCGCGAACGAAGATCCTCGACGAGAAAATAGCAAGAAAAGTACGTGTTAACACTAAGAATATGATAGTAGTTAGAGACGCAGTCATCGTAGTGTAAAGAGTGTAAGAGTAAATAAGTTTGATACGGATCATGTCCAAGGTGTGGCATTTATTAGTGGGATCCAGTTATACGAGCGAATTCGATACTTGAAAACAATTAAAAGATAGGTTTGTACAAACGTTGAGTTGATTTTGCTTCGCTTTGGAGTTCCAACTAATTCTTTCTCATCTAATTGCCACTATTTTTGTAAACCATGCTTAAACGAATTGTCTTTTTTTTTTTTTT